CAGCTTCTTATTTGGCTTCTTGTTCTGTTTCATGGTGTGTTTTAATTTTTGTCATGTGTGAATCTCATTTGAGTGTCTGAAATGAACTTTCTTATTTCAAAGGGACCAGAACCGTCATTCAATCTTACATTTAATTTGTTATGGTAATCAATAATTACAACTGCCTTTTAACTTAGGAAACTCACATTTAGAAAACCAGTTAATTTTATTTCCTTGGAAAACAATGTATTCTTGATATATAACCCTTCTTTTTTTTCCTTTTCTTTTTAACAGGCACAACAAAAGGAGGAAGTTCTATGTAGATGCCCGATGCCACCCTCAAACTATAGCAGTGGTCCAAACTAGAGCAAAGTAATGTTTTTCTCCATTTTCCACCATATCTTTTCACTTACATTGAATCATTTTTCATCTGTGCCTCTTCTCCATATGCCTAACATTTTTGGAGTATAGTAGTATGCTTTCTTTGCAAAATAGAAGCAGAAATCTGTTAATATTTGGCATTGCTTCTCCTTTTCCTTTCAAAGACAACTGCAACGTACTTGAAGATGTTTAAAAAGAGATTAAACATCTAATAAAAATAAAAAAAATAATTTTCCCCTTAATTTATTTGTGCAATTATGTTAATTTTGTTGTTGAACTCAGTCTGGTCATTTTTTTTAACTAGGAAATGTATTATGCTACATAGCAAAACTTCTCTTTTAATGAAAGATAAATCCATTTTAAGTTTACAGTTTAAAGAAACCATCTTCTAAAAATATTATGTGGTTCTCAACATTTAACAGGCTAAAGCAGTAAAATGTTGATATCAGGTAGCTTATGCATCCTCTGCTCTGCTTTGCTCCATATTTCTGATGATGATGTCAAATGCAATTATTCTTCAGTACTATATACCATGATATGAAACTTTCTGAATATTTAGCACTGCAACGCAGGTTCAACTCTCTGTATGTTAAAGAAAAAAGTCGTATAGAAGTCCATGAAAACATCTTATTAAGTATTACTCCAAGGCAGGAAGTCATTTGAATATGTTGTCTTCTGCATGTTTTTATTTTCCAGTTATACGGGTGTTATTACTGAGCTCAAATTACCCCATGAGATGGATTTCAGTGGAAAGGATGTCAGTGGAGTGTTATTTCAGTATCCGGACACTGAAGGGAAGGTGGAAGACTTCTCTGAACTTGTTGAAAGAGCTCATCAGAACGGGGTGAAGTAAATTTTATTGATCTCACAGATTTCAATCTGATGCATCAAGCAGCCATAGTCATAGAAGCTAAGTGTTACATGAGATACTGTCTGAATTATTACTCTTCAGCTCCATGCAATTGATAACCATTACAACCATTGCACCTCAGCTCCGTGCTAGTGATACGGAACTGTTTGAAGCTGTATCTTGTTCAAACTTAGCTCCTATGCAAACAGGTTTCCATCAGAAAAGAGGCTGACTGCTCTGTGCACCTCTGTTCTCAGACTCTCACTTGCTGCGCTACTGATCTTCTGGCTCTGTGTATTCTGAAGCCTCCTGGAGAGTTTGGGGTAGATGTTGTCCTGGGTAACTCCCAGAGGTTTGGCGTGCCCCTCTGCTATGGAGGACCTCACGCGGCATTCTTTGCTGTCAAGGAAAATCTAGTGAGAATGATGCCGGGCAGAATGGTGGGTGTTACGAGGTAAGTCCTCCCTTTGCCATTAGTGTCTTCGGAGAAAATTGAAATAAAACACATTATGACCATCTTGTGCAGCCTTTATGAATAACAGCTGACCATGGCGTTGTACCAAACACCTTTTTTCTTGAAAACTGGGAGAATAAAAGTTGCCTTCAATTTTTAGGAAGCAAGAGTAAAGAATTGCATTTGTGTGGAATGAAGCTGTGAACTGTCTACAGTGCTTGCTGCAATGTGGGATGAAGAGATAACTGAAACAGCGGAGAGGATTAATTGTGATGGCATGAGGCTTTGCAAGCTAACTTATTCCACTTATTCTGTACTGTTGCACCTTTTTCTCTGACATCCAGTCATTAAAAACATAAATGGGAAGAAGTAGAAAAATCAGTGAACCTCCCAAGTAATCAAGAAGGAACTTAATCTTGTTCAAATTTTATTCAAGCTTAAACAAAGGACAGAAATAGGGTGCAAAAATTTACCTCTGATTCTTGTTATTGGTGACATACTTTGAATTTTGACAAGATGTCTAACTGGGAATAGTAGAAATGCAAATCACTGGAAAGGCTGCATATCTTTGGCACAGAAGCTATTCAGAAGTACTTCAGCAACCAAAATAACTAATTATATTATCAATAAGCTTAGAAATATTTCATTTATATAGTAATATTCCTTCAAATGTATTTTAATTCTCTTGCTTATTCTAAGTGTATCCTTATGCTTGACTCATAGTTCTGAATTGGGGATCAGATTTCAGATTTTGATCAGAAATCTGGTACAATGTTTTATAAAAGAACAGTAATTTTATTTATCAAGGTCATGCTACTGCCACTCCTTGACTTCACCTAGTTTAATATTTTTAATCTACTTTCATCTTTCTGCATCTCAAGAAAGTTGGAAAAGAAAATGTTAAAATGGAGAAAGCTATGGTAGTTTCTCAGTGCAGCTTTCTGCCATGGATTTTTTTGGTTTTGATCACAGAATGATTGAAGTTGGAAAGGATCTCTGGAAGTCATCTGGTCCAACCCCCCTGCTAAAGCAGGATGACCTAGAGCCAGTAGCCCAGGACTGTGTCCAGGTGTCTCTTGATCTGCAAGGAAGGAGACTCCACAGTTTCTCTGGGCAACATGTGGTAGTGCTCAGTCACCCTCACAGTGAAAAAGTGTTTCCTCATGTTCAGGAGGAACCTCCTGTGTTTCGATCAGCACTCATTGCCTCTGGTCCTCTCATGGGGCACTGCTGATAAAAGCCTAGCTCCGTCCTCTTTGCACCTTCTTTTCAGGTACTTACATACATTGATGAGGTCCTCCCTGAGCCTTCTCTTCTCCAGTCTGAACTGTCCCAGCTTTCTCAGCCTTTTCTCATAGGAGAGATGGCCCAGTCCCTTCAACATCTTGCTGGTCCTTCAGTGGGCTCTCTCCAGTACCCTCCTTATCTCTCTTGTACTGAGTAGCCCAGAACTGGACAGAACACTCTAGGTGTGGTGTCACCACTGCTGTGGAGAGGGCAGGGATCATCTCCATTGACCTGTTGGCAAAGCTTTGCCTAATGCAGCCCAGGGTATCATTTGTCTTCTTTGCCACTAGAGCACATTGCTGGCTCATGTTCAACTTGGTGTCCCTCAGGACCCCCAGGGTCTTTTCTGCCAAGCTGCTTTCCGGCTGGGTGGCCCCCAGCATGTACTGGTGCATGGGGTTCTTCACCAGGTGCAGGATTTTGCACTTCCCCTTGTTGAGCTTCATGAGGTTCGTGTCAGCCCATTTCTCCTTTGGAAGGACTGATGATAAACTAAGCTGTATAGTCAAAATCACCAAACAACTGCTGGAGTAAAAATGATTTAAATATTGTATAACTGATGTGCAAGTACTTGAGGCAAGTAGTCTAGCTATTCAAACCCCCATATATGTACATATATATCTGTTTTTATACCTGTATACATAGTTTGTCCATTTCTTTTTGTGGCTGTTCTGAAAGTTTTCATAGTTTTAAAGGGTGTTAGATTGGCTCTTGCCTCTCCGCTTTCAACTTGTTAGGAACCCTACAAAAGGACCTCTTACACGATGGATTGGCCAGAGCCCTTTCAGTTACCTCATACAAGCTCGTTGGAGGGATTATTTTTATATACTAACTCAACGTGCTCTCACTTGACATCATTAGAAAAGATGCTGCCTTCTCAGTGTTTGTTCAAATTAAGTTCTGTATTACTATTCAGTTAAAACAGTTGCAATAATCTATGGCATTTTAAGGCAAATACCGAGTTTTGGTGTAGTATGCTTAGAAGACTCACTGTGTGCTCTACCTGGACACATCTACCAGCCATGATGTAGACAGAAATCTAGAGACTTCAGTCTCACTCTCTGATGTCACAGCTGTCCTGATTTATGCTTTATTCTCTGCAGCACCTTTCTGTCTGTGAGGATAGATATCTCGTTTCAGATCAGCATGCGTAGAGCCCAATGTCTTAAATTACTGTAATTTTGAAGTAACTGAAGCAATATTTTTGCTTGTGATTTAGAGATGCAAATGGAAAGGAGGTGTACCGACTTGCTTTGCAAACACGAGAGCAGCATATCAGGAGGGATAAAGCTACCAGCAACATCTGCACAGCACAGGTAAGTTGTCATGCTTTATTTTCAGCGATAGAAAGGAACAAGTTAAACCCTAAGATCATAGTCCTAACATCACAGAAATTTGAGTTAGCTTTACTTTTGAGAGTTTTTACTAGAAACATGAAGAACATACTGAAGTATTCTGGTGTTTGTGCATTTGTTTTTAGCCCTTTGAAAAATGGAACCCTGCTTGAAAAGAGGGTATTAATATCTGTTTCCTTTAGAAAAGACTTAACCCTGAATCCGTGCAGTGTCATGAGTCCATCTGTCTCACAGGGTGAACACCAGTGAGTAGTGCTGTGTTTGCTATGAATGAGACAGATTTCTTAATAAAATGGAAGGGAATTCTAATGACCTGAAATTGCCTACTCAATACAAAAAATCCATTTTTAAATTCTAAAACTACTTGTTCAAATTGTCACAACTTATATTTTTGTCTGTGTGATTGGATGCAAAAATATTACATCGCCAAAGAGTTATCTTCACAGGAAAATCCCATGATTAAATTCATAATTATCCAAAATAGTTATCTTCAGCATGCTTCCACAGACCTTCAACCAGACAAGTTCATAATTTTTTCTGCTCCTGTCAATGCTTTGCTCATGCTCTTAATGTTGTATCAGATTTTGAGAAGGGATTATTAATATTAAAATAAGCTTAATTATTTAGAATTCATGAGATATTCCATAAATGTTTTGTAGAAGTCCTCAATGAGTTTCCTACAAGACCAGCTTTACTTGAGAGTCTTCAAACATCTTTGTTGCAGTAGTTGAATTTAAGTTCATGTTAATTGCTGACACAGTAACATTTCAAAGGGCATTGAAATCATAATCAGTGCTTACAGTTTCATAAAAGTATTTTACCTTTCCCACCTTTTGTTTTGTAGGCAACACGTAACCAAGTATAACGTCAGCTAAGGATATGTGGTTGTCCCTGGGTTCTAAAGAAACTTTCCACTAAACTAACACAAAGTAATCTTTGATTATAATAATAATAATAATAACAACAACAACAATAATGATGTTCTAAACTGTATTTGGATCCTAGGCTCTTCTGGCTAACATGGCAGCCATGTTTGGTGTATACCATGGTTCTGGTGGATTAAGGCATATTGCAAGGCGGGTACACAATGCTACTCTAATCTTGGCTGAAGGTGAGTATTTAATGTTTGCAGAAACTGTTCTTAAATCCTTACACCTTCTTAGATAGTACATCTTCTTAAATAAACTTATGTAGGTTTTTTTTTTTTGCCAGCTGATGTGTGTTCTCTCAACTCTAGAGAGAACATTTTAATACAAAATTCATAGCTAATGTTTTTGTGTACTTCTGATAGTGACATCCAAGAATTAGATATCTAAGTGATATGAGCTTGCAAGCATTACTTCTCATTCCTTGGGAAACTAACAGAAGTCTGCACAGCAAGTCTCTAGATGATCAGATTCAAATGCTGTTTTCCAGCAGCATGCTCTGTACTTCACTTACTGGACCATCCTAGTTTACACACAGAAATCTGCACAGAGTATTAGTAACACAGCAAAAATAACTAATAAATGAGAATAAAGAAACAGGAACATTTCAGTTAAGTTGGGTGGAGTATCATACCCGCTATGAACACTGAAATCCCAAAGCTTAACAGCTGATTGGAAGCACAGAATCTGTAGCAGAAGATAATGATTGCAGCTGGACTATGTGGTCTGGTAGGATTTTTTCACTGGCATGACTGTCGTTGCTGTCAGAAGGAACTGTGGAGAACTGGAATGCTGGGAATTGAGGAATGATTGCCACAATTATCCATGCTTTATTTGCCAGCTTAGCTGGAAGACCTTTTGCTTCTGTGAAAAGCACTAAAACTGTAAACTCTCTTATAGCAAGCTCCATGATGGTTAATATTCATGTACATAATAAAATTTTTCTTTCTAGTCTTGTAATTTTCTCCTTGTTGCATTCATATAGCAATTCCGCTACTGTATATATATCAGAAGTATCTTCCATAGACTTGATCTGCATTATTAATTAAGTCTGGATCTGATTTAGATGCGTTTTGTGCGTAGTGACATTTCACTAAAAAGCTGGTGATTTTGCTGCTCTGTACACAAGGGGAATATTTTGCTTTATTATGTAAAAGCATTTACTTATGAGATTGATAGTGTTGTTATGCAAGTACTGTGTAAGCAAGCACTGCAGCTAATAGAATTAACTTACTGTTTTTTATAGGTCTCAGGCGAGCTGGTCATAAACTACATCATGATCTGTTCTTTGATACCTTGACGATCACATGTGGATGCTCAGTCAAAGAGGTTTTGGACAGGGCAGCTCTTAGAAAGATAAATTTTCGGATTTATAGTGATGGCAGAGTAAGCAACTCCCTAAACCTTCCAGAAATATTGTGGCATGACTTTTTCTACATAAAATTTCTAGTCATTACATGTACTAAACAGAACAAAATTATTGAAGACTTCTTGTAATTTGCTCAGGTATATCAGTCAATTATAAAGATAATATAAGGAATGAAGTTGTTAAGTGATGTGCTTAACTTCCAGAAATAATTACTGTATTTTCATTTTATGCCTATTTAAAAAGATTATCTAACTTTTTCATGTTAAATATACCACTAAGGGCTAGAGTGGAGAGGCTCTCAAACTTAATGATGAAATGCAAGGTGACCACCAGCATTCAGGTCCTGTCGCAGTGTTTAAAGACAGATTGAAATCTAAACCACATTTTGATAGGCACTAAAGACTTTTGGCAAAGTCTAATATGTTCTGTAAAATAGGATGGGGGGAGGGGGTAATTCTAGCAAAATGGGTAATTTTCCTATTAAATGGAAAACGCTTAGACACATTTGAAGTGAAGTTGCAAGTCTTGAAGCTTGTGAGCAATCTGGCTTGGATGATTTAGCAGGGGAAAGATAGGAAAATTTTATGTAAATAAAATAAATTTATGTATCTATTACATAAAATGAAGTGACATTTACATATTGTTGGGTAGGTTGGTTTTTGTCTTTGTTTTTTTTTTTTCTCCTGTGTTTCTGGAATATTTTTTGTTGACCAGAACAAATATACTATGCCTCTGGAATTAAGAGCTTTGAGTAATTACTGTTCCTTTATCTATAGCTTGGAGTATCACTTGACGAAACTGTAAATGAGAAAGACCTAGATGACATATTATGGATTTTTGGTTGTGAATCTTCAGCGGTAAGTAGACAGTAGATCATATGGATTACAGTATGAATGTTTCAGAAGTTTAGTGAAAAGCAAAACTGCTCTTGGGACAGTGGGTGTCTATATGATGACCGTTTGTTAAATACTGAAAATTTCAGATCCTCTCTAAAAGAAAGCAGCAGCATGAGGTAACAATGGAGTAATGCCATTTTCTGATTGTGACACTTGGTCCTTTCAGTCAGCTTGGATACCTTGCATTTAGACTGCTACTTGTTTTGTGAGGATTAGGACAGGGTGGTCAATTATTTCTCTCCCACTGGAATTTTTATTGCATGTCATTAGTAATTAGCAGCAATACTTCCAAGACAAGGACTACTGAGACATCTGTACCCAGTTTTAATATAATGGTGTCATGCTAGTTATATATAGGTATGTATGCTAATAAAGTTGGGGGGTTTTTACCTAAAGAGCTGATTAAAGCTTGAGGTAAGCTGGTAGTATAAGCTGGTTGTGATGGAAATTGACTGTGAAAAGAGAAATTTTCATTAAAGTATTTGACTCCATGTTTCTTTGTGTCAAAGGAACTGATTGCTGAGGGTATGGGCGAGGAAACCAAAGGCATCCTTAGCACCCCATTTAAGAGAACATCCAAATTCTTGACACATCAGGTTTTCAACAGGTTTGTGAAATTGCTGTATATATGATATTTTAATGGAATCTGAAAGTATCTCCTTTCAAAAGTGGTACTGGAGTCAGATGAGGACAGTTTTGTAGCTGCTGTATTCACAGAGTCAATTGTTACTCTGAAATAATCTATTTAGTAGTATTTTTAGATATCTTTCATGTTTTAAATGAGCAAAGTAATACTCACAGTCACATGGGGGATGTGTTTTTCCATTAATCTGCTACATTGTACAAGCTATTACTTGAGGACGTAGTATCTGCAGACTTACTAGAGTCCTCATATTCCATATTTACTAAGAGCATTTCTGAGTGAATGATAATAGGCTATGCTTGCTATTAGCAAGCATAAAGTACTGATTTGGAAAGAAGTGCCTATTATATATTAAAAATTATCCTCAGCCTTAATTATTTTTTTATGGCTTTTCCTATGTTAGAGCATAGATCAGCCAGCTGGTATAGCTAATCTGCTTGCCTTAACACCACATTTTGTGTTCTCCAGCTATCACTCTGAGACAAATATTGTGCGGTACATGAAGAGATTAGAAAACAAAGATATTTCCCTTGTACACAGCATGATTCCTTTGGTAGGTATTTACCAAAAAGAGAAAAAATTAGGTACTTGCATACATATTTATGTATTTCAATAAATAGTGATGAATGTGTTTGTATTTTTAGGGGTCCTGCACAATGAAGCTCAATAGTTCAGCTGAACTTACGGTAAGTTGCAAGTACTGTCTTACTTGAGACCCACATGAGTAAACTATCTAACCAGTGTCATTGTAGAGAAGTAAAGACCGCTTTTGGTCTAGTACTCCAGCTGAGGAGGCAGTGTCAGAAGTAGCTAAAGTCATCACCTCCCTTTTCTGCTAGGAAAAAAGCTCCGAAAGGCACAGTAGGACTGCAACAACAGCAGGAGAGTGAATGGCTTTGAAGACTCAATTCTGAAAAAAATAATGAAAATAATTTTTGGAATTAGGTATCACAGTCTTGTTCCCTCATGTGGTGTTGTAGAGTCTAACTTCTATCTGCTTTACAAATCTTACAATCAAATCCTCAGAAATAAGGAATGAGTCAGGTGGGACCGGCGATTCATGCTTCTTTGTCAGTTTGCTGTTTCTTAGAATAGCACACTCATTTTGCCCAGGTGAAGAGCTGGAGTCCCTGAATATCTTCATTTTTCTGGCTGGTAGCAAATGAAACAGAGCCTTAGCCAAGTTGTTTGGGTACAAAATGACTTGTCTCTGATTGAGCTTTCTCTGCTCTCTACCTTCTCGCTTTGATCTTTCACTAGGTTTCCTTTGTCCCCTTTCTCTCACTGCCTTCTCTATGTCTTCTCCCTTCACTGTTTTCTGTCTTGTATACTCCCTTCTAATTAAAAGGGATAGCAACAAAACAGTGCAAAACAAACTAAATACTATTCCACGCAATTCATCCCTGTTTTTTTGCCCTGTGATCCCACAGGTCTACATAAGGGTAGGTGACTTAGAAGGAGAAACTAAGGATTTTTAAACATCTTCTGAATGTTAAAAAAAAATGTTACTGGAAATCATAGAATTGTTTCAGTTGGAAAAGACCTTTAAGATCATCGTGTCCAACTGTTAATTTAACACTGGCGTGTCCACGACTGAACCATGTACCTAGGCACCACATCTACACGTCTTTTAA